ATCACAAAATGAGTGTTGCTAATAGATACAGTGTGTTCAGTTTATTACCATGTATTTGGGGTCTGCTGAGCTTGGAATTAGAATGGATGTTGATTCTGCCATAGAAGAGCTTTTCAATCCTTTCATTTTGCCTTTCCTCCCTCCTTTTACTTCATTCGCTAAAAAGGCATTTGAATTAAATTCATCAGAGACAGGATTTTGGAACTGCTTCACTGGAAATTAGGGTACAACCATGATTTGTGTTTCAATGAGAAAATGCTAAAATTTCCTGTACATTTTTGTTTTCTCTACTTCATGAATCTGCCTCTGCCTGAACAATGAACACAGGCTTGGCAACTAAAACTGGCAGTGGATTTCTGTAAGGTATTTGACTGCACTGTCACTGCAATGAGTACATGAGTATAGCCTCTTGAGTCAAGCTTTGGTAGGAGCTGATTTTTATAGTAGCTAAATGTTGGTCCAGCTACAACCTAACTTGCATGAACTCTAGTATCTATCAAACATAATTTCTACTTCTTTGCCATGCCTTACTTTTCAGTTTTGTAAATATTTTGTTTTCTGGGTTTTTTTCTTAAAATACGATGCATTTTTAGTAATTTAAATACTTTTTTTCATAGAACTTCTGGGATATTTCAGTGTCTGATTTTTGTCTTGTTTACATGGTAATGAGTCTGTCAGGATAATGTGGCGATAAAGCAGGGATCCACTGGGTTTGTTAATAAACTTTGGAATATTGATACTTGATTGTAATAGCTTGCCTGCTTTTATATGAAATCTGCATTTTGAAATTACAGCCGTTTTGCTGACCTTGAACACGTGAAGATATATTAAAAAAAATATGATTAGGATTGCATGGCTGATGGGGATCTAGAAGTATCGGTGTAGCTTTTGCTCAAAGTTCACAGGCAGCCACATTGTTTTTAATCATGTTGCCTTGATTGTGCCTCATAGCTCTATCATTTGTTAGTACATGAGGCAGCTTGTGCAGCTGTAATTTGGGGATCCTTGTATGGTGGTCAGTCTTGTGATGGAGATGTACCCGCTGCCAGCGTCGTATATGGGCTTCCAGAGCTTGCTGAGGCACAGCGAGCCTGCAGCTGTGGGTAGCAGGAGGGCACCGCCAGTAAGATTCTTCACCAGATCTCATCTGGAGCGTGTAATTTTGGAGATCGCTTTCTATCCTTTTGCTCAGTGACACAGAAGCCTCCTCTGGCAAATAAAGTAAATGAGGAAATTAAAGAGAGCCTGCTTAAAGATTTACTTACCGTATGACAATCCGGTGTGGCCATTGGCTGCATAAGCCTGACCTGGGGAGGAGAAAAAAGCAAACCCGCAGCTGTTTGGGATTAATGAACGTGTAACACAAACAGCGTCTTCATGAAAAAAAATGAGCTTTAGAAAAAGCATGGAATACAAAATTCATGTGTGTAATGAAATGAAGAAATAGGAGTAAGATTTGTGTTTCCTAACAGCATAAAAACATCTGACCTACAAAGAATGTATGTGATGTCGTGTGTTGTTTAGTCAGAATTATTAGCTAGCACTAAGCTGTGCTATCCGTCAAAGCACAAGCTTTTCATCTCTGGAAGCTTGAATGATTCCTAATATTTTTCAAAATCTAAATTGGGTCATAAATGTTTTGGCAATTTCAGATTAGCAGCATAGGGGGTGGAGGGCATTATAAAACATGGCATGTGATGGAACGGTTGAGTGCACTGATTACTAGGCTGTGGAAGTACATAGAGCCAAGTGGGAGGGCACCTTCACATCAGGGATGAGGGGTGCTGGCGCTGCAGTAAGAGTAAAATCCTGCACAGTGCCTGCCCGTGCAGTGCATGACTAGCTGATTATCTCGGTCCTTCATGGAGCCCTGTATTCATTCCCTCAGTGGATTTTTTGAAACCGTCAGCTAGTCGAGGATCAGCCTTGTTCACTAACAAAGGCTTGACAGTCTAACAGACCTGGAAAATACATCCCAAATAACGCCCGGGAAGGTCTAGAAAAGGTAAGTGTCCTTGGTGAAGGCCACCTAGCTAAAGAGAAGGGAGAAAAACACAGATTGAGCATGAGAGAAGATGACCCCAAAAGACTGAAAGGTTTGTTCAGTGCCTGCATTAGTAGATCAGGAATACATTACATCAGAGTAAAATACTGAGATAAGAAGGCAAAAAAAACAGCACAACTAAAGCATGATGCAAGAAACCAGGCTATTTAGCTTATCTATTTAGTTAGCACATGCTCTATCTCAGGAGCTGATGTGGACTAAATAAGCTAAATAAAAAGCCTAGAACATAAAAATAACTTTAAAAAAAATCCCAAAACATAAAAGCAATTATCATCTTTATTGCTAGTCTGTTTTCTCTCAAAAATCATCCAGTGTTTATGGATTATAACTTACAGAAAAATATCAAGAAGCAGAGTCATTGTGAACAATGTTTTTAAGAATTTTCTTGGTATTGAGTAGACCTCATTAAGTTAACTTGCAGTCTGCTGTCATCCCTGTGGCAGGATGGAAATGTAACAACGATAAGGCCATTTTGCATGCATGTATTATCATGCAATCTTTTATTGCCCATTCACATTCAGATTTTTTTAGTGGATCCTTTCCCCTATTTAAACTACTGTTTACTTCTTCTAGGCAAAGAAATACTCATTTTCTCTTATTTTCCCCCTCAGTACTTTTGTAGTGTGTGCATGCTGTGTAAGCATTTATCTTCAAAACTTGTCTAAGTTGTGAGGGTGTGATATGATGGTTCCTAGGCAAAGGATGAAATGAAGATTACAGTGGCTGTACTTTAAAGTCTTTGTTCATTTTGGATACTCACCTTGAAAAAAATTCAGATCTGTCTTTTAACAAATATTTAACATTATAATATTTAATATTTAACGTTTAGCAAATATTTAACATTATAGGGGAACATACCTGTTCCCCTGTACACATGGCTACAACAGTGACTGATTTGAGCATGTGACATTTTTAACCCTAGAGCTTTTACATGTACTGCACAACGGGTATGACTTCATAACCAAATTGTGCAGATAAATAGTGTTCAAGGCATGCACTTCCACTTGGTGTCTTTGAGGCTATTTTGTCACACCACAAGACTGTTAAGATTCCGGGCCCCTTGATGCAGCACTGTTTCTGGAAGGATGTTGCCTCATAGCATATATGAGGCTTGTAGAATTTGGCCTGTTTCGTTTGCATCTGTCCTATTTTTTTAGCTTTGTTCTCTGTGAAAACCTATATAATTACTTAGTGCATGTTGTTGCCTCTCCCTTTCCTAAACTACCAGCCCGCTCTTGCCTACTTTTCTTATATCCATACCCCCCTGTTCTGCTTGTCCCTATATTCTGGTGGTCCAGATGCACAGCTTTTTCACTCACTCTCACTGTACTGAAAAGCTAGAAGAGTCAGGTGGTTGTAATGAGCCAGCTTTGTACATTATCATGCTTTTTTCCACAGCCCAGATAAAGTCTTTACAGGAAAAGAACCACTCAGTTTCTGCAGCAGAGAGTGATGGAGAATCCTTACCGCAGGATGACCTGCAACAGTGACCGTGCCCCAAGCTAGAACTGTTAGACCTACATCAGTACACCAAACATTCAGAGAACACAGCTGCTGAATTTCAACTGACCTTTTCCGAACAGCGGTGAAATGTGATTTTTTGAAAAGCAAAAGTACTTTGTTAAACCTGGGAGAATTTCCACACAGTTGGATTAGAAATGTTAGGATAGGAACATCCAACATGTTGAACCCTTGAGCAGTTCCAGTGTGGCTCTGCTACCAGGACAGCTGGATATACCTGGCAGGTGCAGATGGTTTGGTCAGTCCAGATCTGTAGCTGTGAAAGTGGTGATGCCACAGGGATTGCTTAAGGCTGATGTTGCCAGATGATGTGGGATCCAAACTGTAAACCCAACCCTCTTTAGCCCTGGCTGTCATAGAACAGGGGGGGATCCCTGGTGAGTTTTTGTCATGTCCAACCCATGCACTGTTTGTGGGATTTCCCTTTCCCTCATGTCTCAGGTGTCTAATATTTACATGGCTCTGAGCTACATGAAGATCTAGGGCTACTGCTCAAGAGGGTAGAAAGGTTTGTCAGCCTGATGCTGAGCCAACTGCCAAAGTTGGCTGAAATGGTTTTAAGACGGAGCATACGATGGGTGACTTTCCCATAACTGTGTTTTGGAAAACAGCTGAACTGGTTCAGCTGCAGTTTTTGGAGAAGAAGATGGTGGAAAATCTCAACTGGAAGTGTTCTCTCTGGCAAACACAAAAATAACTAGACCATCCAGGACTTAAGGAACAATTTTAACCTTTTCTGAAATGGTTGTGGCTTCTGTTACTACTATTATTCATTACCGAAATAGCTGTACTATTTTTTCATCATTTAGACTCACTGATCTAGTAGTTCACTTACTGCAAGCATTTAGCTGCACATTGTTTTGCTACACACACTGCATTGTGTTGCTCAAAAATGCTGCAGAAAAAGGTGATGCTTGATATTAATCAAGGTGTGTAATGCCTTCTTACTTGGACTGTGATGAAATCTAATAATCTCAGAAGTAATTCTAATGTGTCAAGCTTTTCTTGAAAGTATGGGAAATAAAGGAGCTTTTTTACCTCCTGGGATATATGAAGTTTAATTAAGTTACTGTCTTTCTGGAAAATGAAGTCAGAGAGAAGTAGCCTCAGATGTGCTCAAAATGCTTACTGGTTTAATAGATCAAATGGTGAAACAGTGTTTTGCTTTAGACAGAGACATGCTTAAGCTCTTGCAGCATGTTTATCGTTCTTTCCTAGCTGCTCCATGAGATAATGTAAAGCAGGGTGATTACTGAAGTTTTTATCTGGCAGATTACCCTGTTAAACTGGCACTCTAGTAAATTGTCATGTTCTAGCAAAAAGGCAGGACGTTATGCAAAAGAGCATTTCAGCACACAAATCTGTTCAGCGAACAAGCACATTGTGGTTTTAATTTTATTTTACTGTTTTGTAGGATTGCATTGATGTTGGCTGGTGGGAAGGAGAACTCAATGGTAGGCGAGGTGTGTTTCCAGATAACTTTGTCAAGCTTCTTCCTTCCGATTTCGAAAAAGAGGTAAGCGATGTATTCTTTCATTTTCGCTTTAGAATACAGAATGAAAGTGGAGTTGAAAGGAATTCTCTTTTGGATATGTGATTTTGACAAAGTTTCACTTCTAACTTCATAACAAAAAAAGGGTAAAGAAAACAAATTTCTGGGTTACAAAACATCCATGAAGAGAACGTGTGGCACTCAAAGTCATATTACGAAGTTTCTCTGAAGGGTTTTGTTGGCCCATCCATTCAGTCCGCCTCCACTATGTTGCTCTGAAAGCCCTCTGTCCTGCATCATAAGTTTGAGAGAGAGAGGAACTGGAGGTCCCAGGGTAATTTGCTGAGTCAGGTGATACAATGATGACTGGAATTGTTAACTTTTCTCCATTGTTTTTGTGGTGGAATATGAAAAGTTAGTGTACCACCTGCATGCTGATTGACAGCAGTCAAGCACTCTTCCAGAACGAGAAGGGTGAAATTTTAACTGTGAGATTTGAAAGACAACAGTGAGCTTTTGGTGTCTCAGAGGCATGTTTCTTTACCTTTCTCAGAATTACTAGAAAAGAAGGTATAAAAATCTACGCAGAAGCTTTTTCACCTTTTATTTCTTTGAAAGAGACGGTGTTGTTATTTGCCAAACAATATTTAGAAATCCTGCAGTTTCCTGGGAGAGCTTCCTCCAAAAGTCCATTTCATTTTTAGGAACGTTTTCAGTCCTCACTGGTATATTACGAGCCTGCAGTCAGGCTTTTAATGAGTATTTCACAGTGACAACGTAAGCCTTCCGTGATAAAACTGAGACTTACTGACACTCAGCTTCAATCTTTGGCAATAAAATTGGATGCTGCAGGCAAAAATTAAATAACTTGGAAAGCTTAATAAAGCAACTATTAAACAACTCACAAAAGCTAACATGATAATTATTGAAAATGAAGGTAGAAGAGCAGCAAAAACTGTGTGAGATGAAAACGCAATTCCATAGCAGAGTAGATATCCTGGCTTTAGGCCTAGCAATAAAAGAAAGTGATTTCCAAAAGAGGCAGAAATCATAAACCTTAAGACATAGTGAGCCTGTTATAGAAGAAAAAAATTTTTACTCTTACGCATTTTTTCTGTGGTGAAACTTATTCAGTCTTTTTGAACTTCTAAATGAGATATCTTTAAGCAGAGGGGGATTCTTTAAAGTACGATGAATGTAACTTGTAGAATAAATTAAAAATTCAGACACTTAGAAACTGCAGCTAGGTTTGCTGTAAATGTGGAGAATAAAATTTTATTAGTTTTTAAAATGACACAGATCTGGTCACATGACTAAGTAACTGGTAGAACTCTAGGCTGTCTGTCTTTGCTTGAATCGGTGCTAAAAGGGAAGGAAATGGATAGTTTTCCAGTGGTTTTGTCAGGTATTTTCTGATGTGACCCAGAAAACTTGGATTCCATCCCATGGTCTGAAAGTTTTTGTTGCAGTAGTTCTTCTGCTTGTTGAACAAAAGCTTGGGATCTCCTCCCTTCTCCTTGTTCAGTCCCCAGTTTTCCAATCCTGATGCTTTTCCACACATGGCTATTTCTCCCAGACCTTTTCTATTCATTGCCTTGTCCCAGTCTCCAGCTCTCAGGTGGTCTTAATTACAGAATTTTCCCCTGAGCGCACTACCTGAGTCTAAATCACCATCTGGATTTACTTTCTGTCCCTACACCAAATTTCTTTATCCAGCTTATTTTCTTCTCCCCTCTCACTCTTTGTCCTTACTCTGTAGTTTTGTTTTCTTCTTGTCCAACCAATCCTGGTTTTCTTTCTGTTGGCTTCACTTCTAGTCTGTCTCCATCACCTTCTCAGTTATCTCATCCAGCTGCAGACCCTTGTAATTCCTCCTTGCTTCTCCATGTTTCCTTCCGCAGTCTTAAGGCTCCTTCATGCTAACTCCTTTCTGATCTTTGTCTCCCTTTTTGAAACAGTATATTTCACTCATCAGCTTCCAGTTAAAGCCACTTTGTCTAATGAACCACAGGATCCTGTCTCCTTTGTGTTTATCTACATCAGTGTTTTAGTTTTAATCAAGAGTGGGATTTGTAGTGAATGTCTCACTCGTCCATCTACATTTGCTATGCTTTCGTTTGCCTTGAAGACAAGTGTCAGGACAAAAACTAGACTCCTTTCAGATGAGAACTAAGCCAAAAGATGTGCTAAAGGAGTGCACCTCATATATTCCAGCTGCCGACGTATGGACAGTCAATGGGATCAGGCTCACACCGCTCCAGAATATGTGTATATTGTGCTGCTGGATGCTCAGCACCAACTATTTCACGCTGCAGCCATTGTCAACCAAAACCCCAATTGCTATCACAAGACATTCATTGTCCCCGTCTTCTTTCCTTTCCACATTTTCCTGCACTTTTCTGCATTTAAACCTTGAGCCATGTTGCCTAAATTCATGCAGAAGTGTCTCTCAGAGTATAAGGGACTCACTGTTCATGGACGATGGCCCACAGCAGCCAGGCTAGAGAAGATCATTCTGGGCTCCTGAGTTCTTGTCCACAGCTTTCTCAGGTTGATGACAGGAGGTGATGTGGTTAGGATAAGATGATAGGAGAAACCTGAGGTTTGCAGGATGGCAACTTTGGAGATGTAAGCTGTTAGGTTTACTCAATCTGTGCAAAACTGGTACTTTTTTTTTCTCCAGGGATAAATACATTTGGTAGATTTGAGAGGGGTTCCAAAGGAAGGGTGACCGGCAAGGACTCAGCCTTCACACAAAACCAGCTCCCTGTCAACATTCAGACTAAGACATGAGAGTTCTAGGGCAGAGGCAGAGCTAATTACTGCAAGTGGGCAAAACAATTGATCTCTCTTGAAAGTAGATGAGCCATTTGGCAGATATATAGAAAATAAGGGGGCGGGGAGGAGTAAACATGAGTTTGATAGAAAATATCAACCTAATTGGTTGGTTGAAGTTTGTCAAAGCTATGCATATCTGGAAACATCATCTTATTGGTAGTTCCACAAGGCAAATATACAGCGTTGCATAGCCAGCAGTGTAGTGACAGTGATTGCAATCAATCTGTAGCAAAGGAAATAAGGTCCTTCTCAGAAAAAAGGATATATGGACATATGAAGAAAAGAATTACTAATTTTTACTTAGGCTTTATTCTAAAGTTTGGTTTTTTTGAATAGTGAGCCTGAAGGTATGTCATTTGATCTGGCGTGGCTCCATTTATTTTTGTATTCATTCCAAGATATATATGGTGGATGCCAGTATAGTGTGTGTGTGTATATACACGTCGACACGGAAGGAAAGCCACTCATCCCCTAGCCTGCAGGTGAAGAGAAATGGTTCTGGCACTGATTTGGTCGTCATGTTTCTCAGCCATACCATTACAGTTCCATTAGGAAAATGGTCATAACAGAGAAGGTAAAAGTAAAAAGTACAGATTGGTTATTTATTTATATTAATATTTACTCACCAAACATCTAAAACTCTGATAGCTGTCTCTCACAACTGGAGCTGTAAATGTATCACGAGTGAATAAAATGTAACCTTTGCAGCAATTCCTGTATTCTGCATTTTTGCCCCATTTATGAGTCTGAAAAACCACATTTCAGGTTTTGCCACAGCAAGCTGTTTTTTTGTGTTGGGTTTTTCCCAAATGGGTTGGAATATTGACAAGATTAAATTAAAAAAAAAATGGGTTTCTTCAGTAAACCAAAGGTCATGTATTTCTCTAATCTTAAGGCACATAAACTAGACTTTTTTTTCCCCTCAGCAGGACATTTCAATTGCAAAAGTAGAAAAATATAATTTTATTTGTCAATTTCTCTCTTGAAATTAATTTTAATGAAGTTATTTCAGGGGAAATATGTGATAGATCTGTAGTCTCAAGTCCTGTAATTGTTAATGTTAAGCAATGTATCATTAACTCCAACCTCTGTATGAATGAGATTTACAGGCATTTTGAAGCAATCTGTTTTCTTCTGTTATTAAATTTTAGAGACCGAAGAAACCACCACCTCCATCAGCTCCTGTCATCAAACAAGGATCAGGTAAGGTGCAGCTGATTTTGTACAGAACATGTCAGTGAGTACATCTCAGTCTAACATAAGTGTATTCAAGTTTATACAGAATTCATCTGTAGCAAAATAGATAAGCAGGAAGTGGTTAGACAACAATAAATCAGAGTCAAATTGCAAAAAATCATAACCTGAAAGACTGTGGTGTGCTTTTTCAATGTATTGCAGGCAATACATCTGCACCATTTTAAAATAATATATTTTGCCTATTAAGCATGTTAATTTGGAGCGAGTTTGATACTCCAGCTTTTAAAAGTTCTCCAGTTCCATTCCTTGACTGAAGTAGATTGCGCACATGTCTTTGCAGTATAGACCCAATATGTTGGAGTCCAGTAATACCTGCAGGAGGAAAGTGCATCCACATTACACCTACAGATCTAATTTATTCTAGAGATAAAGAGCTTTTTTGCATACCTATATGATAGCATCAGAGAACTTGGCTGTAATACAGTGTCCCCGTCTGAGTTGCAATCTGAATCTTACAGATCTGCATGAATGCTGGAGCCGGCCTGCTGTCTCTAGGTTCTATGCCATAGTTAGATTCTTGATTTTCAATACTTTATAGCCATAAGTATAAAACTTAAAGGAGTTATCCTGAATCTGGTTATGTAGATAATGGTGGTGTTGCAAAGTATTAAGAGACTGATAATGTTTTCCAAACGGATGAGTGCTAGCAAAGCTGGCTTTGGAATATGTTAGACTGAATTGTGTATAAATACTGAGAACTGAAACCACTTCTATTTGTAGTTTTAAAACAAACTCTCAATGCAAATTTTCAAAACTGCCTGCATGATTTACTTTTTCCATGAAACTTAGAAACAGTTAAAGAATCTACACACTTGAGAGTTCTGACCTCAGAAACCATAATCCTGTTCCATTCATGTAAAATCACAAATCACAAGGCATAGGATGCTCAGAGTTTTCATTTGTGTTGCAGTTGTGGTGGAAACATAACTATGGCTGGAATTCTTTAATCCCTTAACTCCAGTTGGTTTGTTAAAATTCTGCAGCAGCACTACTGCTTCCCCCACTGCGGGCGCACATTAAAAAAACAAAACGAACACGTCCAATCTAGCCAGATTATTTTTCTTGTCACTGTGGTCTGTTCCAGCTTTCAGGGCTTTAAAAAGTAAATTTCCCTCTTCCACAGTCTTGATCTATTAATAGAAGAACAGGTTACACCAGTGTACAATTTACTGTGAATCAATAGGCTATCATTTAAATAGTATGAATTTTTCAAGCAGAATCATGACTACAAATATTTGGTTTCCTTACTGACAGCCATGGTTTGTTCTTCATTCTGTCTTGAGACTCCTGAAAACATAGATATTTTAAGATCAGTAACAGTGTCCAAGGAAAGCAGTATAACTTTGCCATCTAGTGGTGGCTGCTTACTGAAGGTGTCTTGGTGACAACTGACATTAACAGCCTGACACGTTTTGGAAACGCTCTGTAAAACGTTATGTTTCTTTCAATTTAAACTCCTATAATTAGAGAATAATACTTTTAATATATTTGTCCCTGTTTGCATCCAACGCATTAGCTGCATCACCATAGGAGGATAATGTGCCCATTCTCAGAAGGAAAAATGCATGCATAAAGGGTGCAGACAGTTTGATTAAGGCCATCTAAATCTATGGCAAACCCAAAGTAATTGCTGTTCTTTGTTTTCATACTCAGTTTTGACAAGTCCTGGCTGATTATGTGCAAGAGTTTCTTCTGATACATATTTAGAGGTGAAAATCAGCCTATGTTTATTACCATCCTGACATCTTCTACTTTGTCAAATCATCACTTTACCAAGATAGCGCTGTGTTTTACCACATCCCCATGTCAGGTCTTAATGCTGATAGTAGCTAACAATTTCCAGTAATGTTTCTGCATATTTAACCAGTCATAGTGTGATTAATAAATTGAGAACTGTCAGGTGCAGCCTAAATAATTATGTATCAGTATCTTCTGATGCAGAGCATAAAATCACTGCAGAGAATTGGAATTGTAGTACAAGCCGTACATATGTAAAGGAGGTGTCTAGTTTGTATTATAATACAGCTGGAAGTTTGGCTGTATTTCCAAATTCTGCACAGCAGTAGACTGCCAGAGTCATCTGTGCTGGGCTACTTTACAAAGTCAGGTGAAAACTGGAGAACCAAAGTTAGGAACAGGAGTCCTTTACACAGTCATTGCAAAGCAGTAGGCATTTCACTGGGTAGCTGAGATAAGCAATACAACTGCGTCTAGGCTGGAGGATGGGAATACTCTGTTGAGTCCCTTTGGGAGCTGGTACGGAGTTCACCAGAGCTTCCTTGCAGGTGACATTCTCCTGGCAGCTAAGGCACGATCACGGTACCTGCCTGGGTTACTGATTAATTTGAGGGTCAGAACCCAAGTAGGGAGTATACCTGATCCTGGAAGCTCCTGAAGTGTTTGCAGGCTCATTGTTTTTGACATGGCTTGAGAGTGTCCCTTTGTGTGTTAATGATGACTGTTAATCTTACTGTAATTAGGTATATAGACTTGTGTCTCTTTTTTTCTTGAACACACCAGTATGTGCAAAATTATCAGTATGTTGACATGTGCTTTGCATAAGTTGTGTTTAGAAAGGCCTTAATTGGTTTCTAGCAACAGTTTCTCCTCTGAGGAGTGACTTATTTTTTTATAGAATCATAGAATCATTTAGGTTGGAAAAGACCCTTAAGATCATCAAGTCCAAGTGTAAAATGGCAATTCAGTATTACTTATTGACATGGTAACTGATACAGAGATGCCTGTCCAACAGCACAGTTATATAAAGAAACACCACATCACCACTGATGAGCTATTTGCACTGATGAGTACTGATTTCTAGGAACCAGCTGCAGAAAAGAGTTGCAGCAGCACATTCAGAAAATGTAAATATACTTGAGAACTGCATATAATAGATTGAAGCAAAAAATTGCTCTGTGTTCCCTGCCCTGCTTCCTCTGCTTTTCTTGCAAGTCATCTACTGTAATTTTTATTGAAATACTAATAGTGTTACCTAAAGTGGTTTTCAAGACTGCTAAGTTGAAATGGCATTAGCACCTAGTAGTTAGCCAATGCAGCAAAACCAATATCCAGTAAGGCATTTCTTACAGTACAGGGACTAGAGGACTGCATCTTGCATGTGCCAGGAAGCTTTTGCAAAATCTTCCTGTTGTTGGTGCTACAATTTCCCATATTCCTTACAGCAAGAGAAGTCAGTATGTCAGGGTCTCTAGTACAGAGGCAGAAGGCAGCAGAGCCTTACATCTCCAGGCCAAAAGCTGTTGATTGAGAGTCATGCACAATACTGTTGGTGCTGCTGTTCTCATCCTTCTAATATGTGGAAGTGAACAGCTAGTACTAGAGGTGAAAAAGAGGGGGGGTTAACTTAATGTTAAATAAGCCCTGTATATTCATTAAGTAATCTCTTGGCAGAAATGTCCAATTAAATTGATTTATTCCTAATGAATCTCCACACTGTTGAATTGCTCTTCAGTTAAGTATGCCTACAACGGTAAAGGATCTGTCCACATTTAAAAATCTGTAGTTACTGATTTTTTTTTTTTCACAGAATGGTCTGAAAGTGCCTATTCTTTTGAGGTGCATACTTTGGAAACTGTGAACTTGACTGTGAAAACATAAACATCCAATTGCTTTGTTGTCATCATGGTGTAAGCAAATACTTGAAACTAGATTTATGTTCAGTTTTAGCAAGACATTTTCAAATTGGAGAGTGGCAAAAGCCTAAGAAATTGCACAATTAAATCTTACGTGGCTGTATATGCTGGCTTGTTGGCTTGTACAGAATGCTAGATTTTCCTTTCTTTGACAGGTACCACAGATCGAAAGCATGAAATCAAAAAGGTACCTCCTGAAAGGCCAGAATGTCTTCCTAATCGAACAGAAGAAAAAGGTATGAAATGTGCTTTCCTGCTGCCTGCTCTCTGCAGAGAGACACAGGAGATGGAACTAATGCGCATCCTCATTTCCCAGTCCCTGTTTTCATTAAGTGTATTGTTTGAATGTTTATTTCCCACTCTGATAGATCTGTGATGATATGCATTTTGGAAAGGATCTCATTGTTGCTTTTGGGCTGAATTCAGGGTATTCAATTGTACTAATCCAGAGCTGTTAATTACTTGCAGCCTCAACTGAAGTCCAGGGGAGATATGCTCTCAATACATAAAATGCTGTCTAAAGCTCTGTGCTCAGTAAAACCCAGGTCCTTGATCGAGTGTACTTTTTTCTTAACATCTATATGCCTTGGTTCTCTAGTTAAAAGCAGGGTTGGTGCATCACAGGGGGGTTTTGTGAACATATAGTCATTAATGCTTATGAATCACCCCATTATCATAGTCACAAAAGTCATAGGCAAGCCTGTGAAGAGACAAAAAAATTCTGTCTTCAAAGCCAGGTTTGAACATTGCAAGAAATGGGGCACAGTACCACACAGAGCAGTGACAAGCAAATTAAACCTTTCATGGTTTCGTTGTGTTCATTGTGCATTCTGAATAGTTTGGGGAAAATAGTTACATCAATTTTCTAACTGAAGATGGCATCAAATTTCATATGTTTAAGTGGACTATTATATTGTGCAGATAAGTTTGTTTATGGGGTTTCTTAATTAAGTATTTGAACTTGCAGTCTTTTAAAAGGCATGTGTATGCACATGTCTAAATGTATAATAGGCAGTTATAATTTAATGCCAGAACATTCAGACTTTGCACCAAGATCTGTTTCTAGGTATATGTCTTAGTGATCTGACAGGTGTTTTAGCACTTTCTATCTACATATGTTTTCTTCTGGTTATGTGTGCTACTTCTCATGGTTATCTTAGCAATAAACCCCTTTGCTTTCCCTTTTTGGATTTACAATGCCAACTGTCACAACGGTGGAGGAAGTTTTATATATGTTACTGTCCCACGGTATGATTATCTATAACTTTTCTAAATGTTGAAAAGAGGCCATAGGAGTCATGCCTACATTTCTGGAGTACCAGGGAGTGGCAGGAATTGTTTGGTGTGGTGGAGCAGCAGGGGTGGCACAGGAACGTTCTTTACGCTGTGTTTTGGTATGCTGCCTAGCCCATCCTTCATACATAGTTTAGATTCTTGGACACTGACACAGTATAAATTGTCGTAGGAGTTAAGTGTGTAAAAATTACACAATACGCTGGAAAAGCTTCAATGTTACAGAGGACTCAATGATGGCATCAGCTGAAAATGTACAGAAAAAGTGCATATGCCTGTGAACAACAGTCACTTACTGGACTATTCCAAATCTAATGTGGATTGTGTTTCTGGTGATTTATTCCATGATCCTCTCAGACTGAAACCTAGAACCCACTAAGCAATACCCTGTAACATTCCCAATACCTCTTATGTGTATACAGAGGTGTAATATCCATGACATAGCATAGCCAGTGTTGTCAAGGGAAGTGGGGTGTTGACGTAGTAGGATACAGAGAGCAAAATGTTGGTCCCTTTGACAGTTTTGTCCTTTCATTAAGAACAATCAGGTTTCCTGTGGTGTGGTAAACGTGTTCACATGTTTGTTTTGTATTACAAATTTAGAGCATATTATTTACAAGAGGTATTCATGTGTATTGTGCGTTACATACAGGTGATGTGTGTTTGGCATTGGATATTAGTACTGTGGCACTTCCTAACTATGCATAATCAGTTCTGCAAATGATCCAGTTTTTCACTGACAAGCTGGAAAATTCAGTTATAAGTCTGTGGTTAAAAACCTGAATAAAAGGTCAGAAAAACTGAGGGGTTTACGTCCTGCCAAACATTGCTGAATTTTAATGCTTTTATTTTCATTTAACTGTAGTTCACTTGAAACACACTTTTTTCCCCTCAGGAATGGGATTTCTCTGTTTATTCAAGCGATATTAAGAATACCCAGCATAATTATCTTTGTGACCTTCTAACTTAATATTGTTTCATATTAGAATTTGATATAAGTTGTGCTCTTGGGAAATTGTTCCATATGGTATGTAATTTTTTGCCATTCTTATTTTTTACACTCAGAAATCAGTAAGTCACTAAAATAAAAAATAGCATTTCCAGTCAGACACTGCAGACACATTTCAGCCATGAGCAATTATAGGCGGAACGATCAGGCAGAGCAAACAACTGATTGTGGTAAACGCTATTTCAAATAAAGAATTATTTAGGTCAGAAGTGGAAAGGAGATAAGCTTTTTCTTGCTATACAGTATATCTACAGTTTCAGATTTCTTGTTTAATTGTAGACTTGTGAATGCAAATGAATTCCACTTAATAATATCCATGTTCTTTTTTTCTGGACATAATTGATTTAAAGAAAGATCAGAGAGAGAGCAAAAACCGTTAGACTTGCAGAAGCCTTCAGTTCCTGCTATACCTCCGAAGAAACCTCGGCCACCCAAAGCAAACTCTGTGAATAGACCTGGTACCTTGCCCCCGAGACGACCAGAAAGACCAGTTGTGCCTGTGACTCATACAAGGTATTGTTTTTCCTCTGTCCAGTGCTTTTGGGATTAGTGGAAAAAACACACATTTAAGGAATTTAGATTTTTACAGTTAATGTCACAATTTATTTCATGGTAAACTGGTTCTAAAGGGGAAAAAAAAGAAAAAAAAAAAAAGACTTCTAATCATCTGTCTGGATCCTAACTTACCTTCTCAAGAATAACAGTCTTAGACTGTTAATTACTAGTTCATTTCTACTGATGAACACACTGTTACTGAAACATCATAGCTCCCACTGCAGAATATGTGGGAAATTTCTGCATCAGTATGTTGTGCTGATGCTGACTTTCTTAGTTTACCTCAGATTACCCCAGTTTAGCTGGGGCACTAAGTCAATGCAAAAGCTTGCATTGTACTGAGGAACAGCATTAGACAATGCACATTTCAAATACTGTCAGTTTGGTTTCAGTCTGTTTTCTTTGATCATTTTAGATCAATTTTTAGCAAAATACATGTGTCTTCATAGAATGTTCTTTAAGCTGGTGCCACCACAGAATACTGCTGTCAAGTATTTGTGCTCTAATGGTGGTTGTTATTCTGTAGTCACATGATGCTCTTTATCAGAGGTGATTACAGTCTTTGAGGAGCACTGAGAAATTCGACTTGCCAACACAACTCCATTTAATCTCTGCTAGAGCTTGGAAGAGCAGAGGTTGCAGAAACTAAAGGGCTGTGGTCCTAATCAAGTCTACACGGCAACATTAGTCGTGGCAACATTAGCTGTCAGCATCTGGGTTGTGCGCTGTAGACTTCCTGTATGCATGGTGGATGGAAATAGGTGAAAACCAGACAAAAACAGTTGCCTAAAATGGGCAAGATGCACATCTTGCAGAAATACTAGAATATAGGCATAGAAATAATTCTACTATTGTACTGTTAGAAAAATTAGCTGCCATTGAACTAACAGAGTTTAAATGGTGAATTAAATACCAGAACAGAGTATGGGGTAGAGTGGAATAAAATAGAAATACTAGGTATTGATTCCCCTCATGCTTCCACATATGGTTCATTAAACAAATGCTCTCAGTGTGAAATCGGAGACACATAAAATAAAAAAACGGTGCCTGCCTTGGGCTGCCAGTTTCATCTTACTGAAGTGCTTTGCCTGTGCATCTCTGAGAACTTACCCTTCTACCCAGGTGCTACTACTACAGCTTCTTTTGGACTCCTTGGCTTTGAACATGCTTGCCCAGTCATTCTAAAATATAGTCCACACCTGCTGGTCATTTGGGCATGCTTTGAAAAGCAAGTATTTGCTATGACCTTTAGATTTCGCTACATCATGTTTTCTTGGCAAGACTGCTACATACCCTAGTGTTCAGTTCACTGGCTAGGCATGCCATGGGGTAGCTATTCTTTTGTTCTATCCCTTGCCTGGAATATTTTAAATATATTATAAATATTTTAAACATTTAGAGATGTGGAGGGGTGCTTTATTGCTCTTCTGTTTTCCTTTTTACCAAGTACAAAACTGTATAAATAAACCATGCATTTTTAAAGATATTTCAGTTTTCATGTTAACAAAGTGAAAAAGCAGACCTAAACAGTAACCCTGTTATCTTCTTAATTGTCCAGACTCTGCTATGTCTGACACGGAAAAAAAAGCTTTGTTCTCTTTATCTAATACCGTTATATTTGAAGAATTTTACTTGTAACAGTAGTTAGATTAAAACTTAGAAGGAAGGGTGATTTTTAAGGAGATGATGATGCATGTTGATGATCACAGTGCTAGCAAGTTTCCCTATGAATTACTTTATCAGCTAATTCAAATTAATGGATTTATCTCATATAGCTGTTCTGCCTGGCAAGCTCTAACTTGTAACGGTGTCTTATAGGAAGAGGGCAGAAAGTTCACATAATGAAGTAATCCATGGAGTAACTTTTAAATACTTGATTAATTAAGAAATGTGACATTTCAAATGGAAGCAGTCACTTCAGTAAAGGCATTTTGGTTTTAAATTAGTTCAATTTAATGATAGAAAATATTTTTCAGACCTGCTGGTATCCATTTCCAGAATCTGAAAAACCTAAGGCAATTAGAATAAAAATTGAACCAGCAGAATTTTTTGCTGACCTGTCGTGGTTTAACCCCGTATGCAGCTGAGCCCCACGCAGCCGCTCGCTCACTCCCCCACAGTGGGACAGGGGAGAGAATTGGAAGGGCAAAAGTAAGAACACTCATGGATTGAGCTAAAGACAATTTAATAGGTAAAGCAAAAGCCGCGCACACAGCAAAGCAAAACAAGGAATTCATTCACCACTCCCCACGGGCAGGCAGGTGTTCAGCCACCTCCAGGACAGCAGGGCTCCGTCACGCGTAACAGTGACTCGGGAAGGCAGATGCCATCACTCCGAACGTCGCCCCCTTCCTTCTTCTTCCCCCAGCTTTATATGCTGAGCATGACGGCATATGGTATGAAATGTCCCTTTGGTCAGTTGGTGTCAGCTGTCCTGCCTGTGTCCCCTCCCAGCTCCCCGGGCACCCCCGGCCTCCTCACTGGTGGGGTGGGGTGAGAACCAGAGAAGGCCTTGACACTGTGTAAGCACTGCTCAGCAATAGCTAAAACATCTGCGTGTTATCAACACTGTTTTGGTCACTAATCCAAAACAGAGCACCACACGGGCTGCTATAAAGAAACTTAACTCTCTCCCAGTCAAAACCAATACATGATCCCAGGGGGGAAAATTGCTGTAGTTATAAAGTGAGTCCCCTGAGATTTCTGTGGCTGCTGATTAGCAGATTTTTTTCTGTTCTGAGCAAGTGGCTTGCATCTTATGCATCTCACTGACTTTTTGTGGTGATGATTGTTTTTCCATTTAAATATAATCCTCCTTCCTTCCAGGCAAAGTAGGGCTTCAAGGGCAATAGGAGAGACAAAAATCATGTGGGAGAGAGAGTTTGCTCCAAAGGTTTCGCAGCTTATTTAGACATACCTGTGATTATACCATTACCGATGAGTCAATTCTCTGGATCAGGCAAGCCATAAAGACCTACAGAAAGTGCATTTTTACAATCAGTGCAAACCAATCTGTGTCCGTGCTGCAGCTAACAGGGGCAGGTGCCCTCTCCTGGCAGCCTGTTCCTGCAGCCTCCCTTATGTTAGCACCAGCATTTGTGCAGCCGTTCAGCCATATGGGTCAGGGAGTTGCTCCAGATGGCAATTAATCAGTTTGCAGTGGGATTTCTATTAGTGTGGGGTTTCTTTCAGGCTGATAATCTGTCTGATCAAGCTGACAGCCTGTCTGCATGGGCATGAGCAGAAGGAGGGAGACTCTGTGACCAAGAAGGGATGGCTCCACTCCTTTCGCAACAGTATGGATGTAGATTGGCATAATAAGGCTGTTGATTCTTTTGACAACAGAGTTGGGTTTTTTGTGGGGTTGTTGTCGTGTATCTTGGTATCTTTCATAGTCAAATGGTAAATGTTGTGACTTTCAGCCCTAAATTACACCATTGTAAGAATCTCCTCCAAAACCATACTCTCACATTTCCTACAGTGCTTCCAACTCACGTGGTGCTCTCAGTTTGCTAGGAGATACATGTGTGCAAAACAGAGTACTCAGTCAGATGCTCACTGCCCTGTCAGCCAAGAAACTGTGTTGCTTCGTATAGATTTACAAATATATAAGGGATTTTTTTAAGAAGTTAAAGACAAAAGACAAGAAAACTAATTGATCAGGTAGATCACTTTGAGAATACCCTGATTTATCATCTCACTAATTAATACATTTTTCTAGGAATGTGTTAAATTTCTTCTGTTTCCTTCCTGGTGCAGACTGCCTGCCATGTTGTAGGACTAGTGTAGAACTAGTTTGTTTTTCCGGTCATAAACTGGTTGTCTATCTTTTTTAGTTCATAGAATACTTGTCACCCTACCACAGTGTTTAACTGGATATATGTTCACTTACTCTGTGACTTCCTCCAGTTTTTACACAAATTTTCATTTAATAACACATACATTTCTTTATCACAGACTTCCTGAAGTCTGAAATGGGGTTTCCAGCCTCTTTGTGTTTTGCTCATGAAGTGCTGCCATGACTTGAGGTTCAGGCCATCTGTCATCAGCTTATGGCATCAAAAGCAGAGACAAATGAAAAAATCAACAACATTCAGGAGCTCACTATGTATTTTACTGTCAACGGCTAATTATCACTGTTCATAGACATGCACATCCACCTGGCTTATTTCAGGGGCAGTTCTATATTTTTACCCGTAATTTGGGTACCTTATGTACATCATAATTGTTACAGTGCTACGCTGGGAATAGTCATTGTGGAAAAACTATTATATTTTTTAGGTGACCTGATAGTGATGGTTAAATACCATTTATTGCATTAATTGAACAGTTGTTACCACAGTAAATGTCACAAGGATTTGTCTGTGTGACCTGTGCAATGCCGAGCTACTCACCTACCATGGGCCCTTTTTTAATGAATTGTTTCTATAGTCAGATTATTTTAGTAAACTTAAGTAGTTGTGGGATAGAACATTCTACAAAGAAAGGTATCATGTTGCTTATGTTTGATCTCCTGTTTGATTTTAAAATAAATCCTCTATATAATAAAGTATCACAACTCTTGACATTTGCCTATTTTGAAGACATTTCAGACAGACTAGGTGATCTTGGTTCTTTGGACCTGCGGAAACAATATTCATAGTCTAATCTTATAAGCAACGTGCAAAAATGTAGTGGAAGGGCTGCATTTATGAGTAAATACTAGGAGCCGCTGAAATGCACGATACTAGCTTGAAGTTCTTTCCCTTTCTGCAATATTCTAGATAGTCCATCGCTATAGTTTATGCAAGCCAATTAATTAGAAAAAATGATAAATAAGGTGTTGAGAATGTCCCTTTGCCCTTAGGTTTCCTTCATGTGGAGATGCTGTGAACATCTGAAGAATTATTCAGGACACTACGGTGTCTAAAATAGGCTTTTTTGACAGGTGTTAAGGAGAAATGAGATAAGGTTAATCCATACAGCATGTCTACTTACTGGAGATTGCTCTCTGACACATTGCTGTTACCCCAGTGCTACAAAGGAAGAATATTTTGTTGTCTCATTGTTAATTGCAATTTAGCTATCAATTTACTGTAACCCACATAAAAACTCCAATAAAATATCTCCTCTTCTTGGTCCAAATGCAGGAGTGATAGTCCAAAAGTGGAATTAGTGGGCAGTACAGTATCCGGCACTCTAGAGAAAGACTCCTCGGAAAGAAGCAATGACATCGGTAAGTTATAGTGCTTTTTATGGTTTCCCTAAGAAATGTATGGCGTAAATTTCTGATTTTTAGTGACTTTGTTATGATCCAAAAGGCAGATTGAGGATTTGGCTATGAATGTGAGTGCATTTATATCAAGTTTTAACTGCAGGATTAAAGGATCATTTCTGCTTTACTTTAAAAAGTTTTGTTGGGGTTTTCTGTTTAGAAAATTTTTTAAAAAGGAAATATAGAATGGTGAGCTATTTTGAATAGGAGGGCTTTTGTTATTTCTGTTTAAAAGTCTGAAACAAGTGAGAAGGCCAGCGATAATAAGACATGCTAGTTTAACAGATGTAATATTAATGCTGCCGTATTTTTAACGCTGCAAAAGATTATGTTTTTGGTGCAGTTAGTAATCTTTACACTTTCCAATACAAAGGAATAGAGACTCAGTTCAGGCCAATTTGAATAAACCTTACTGCAAACACCAGTTAAAAGCAGTCTAAATTTCTCTTGAATATAATAATTTGTGTTCCTCCAACACGAACAGTTTTATTGGGAAATCACCTGGAAAGGAGTAACACTAGGTTATTTTTCTGTCCTCCCTCACCCTCCTTCCTTCTCAAGTTGGCAGGAGAGATGTTTGCTGGGGTGGGCGCTGCAGTAAGTGGCACTTGGAAAGCAAAGTGCTCTGACTCTTGTCCCGGGGCTGGAAGCAAAAGCAGCCACAGCCATCTTCTACCTCTACTTAGAAATACGCCGGCGACAGCTGCTGCCGTCGCTCTCCTCCGCAGTCGCAGCTGCGCCGCGAGAGACCCGTTTTTGTGAAAGGCAGAACCAGGGTTCCCTGAATGTGTAAGCTTTGCTACCTTGCGCCGGCAGCATTAAATGTTCTTGCGGTGTGGTGGTTTCTACCCAGGCTGCTTTATTAGTAAAACATTTCTGTAAAATAATATACTTTCAACAGCCAAACCTGCCTTTTCTTCGGACTTGAAAGCAGAGCTTTAAGTTATAGATGGATTTTAATTGCAATGTAACAATAAACTACTAAATTGTTTTCACATAAGATTATGAGCTTTTCAGCACCCCTATGTCTGCTTTTTTTTAACCTTCTGCTGTTGCTATGGTTTATGATAGTAACATTCTTCTGGAGAAGCAAGTGGTATGTTTTTTCCAGATTTTCATTTGGGATAAACATGGAAAATAAGGAGCTTGGGATAAATTGCATGCACATTTTTACTGTAGAGATTCATATAAAGGAATAGTATGGAAATGCAGTCAAGTTCTACCATTTAGTGTTTGTTACTCATATTTACAAATTTTTTTTCAAAACATGTAAGCTTTTGCTTTCTTGAAAGAGAAAGCTATGACTGCAAATAGCATATAGTGGTCTGATGGAAGTAAACTTTTAAAATCCTTGTGCTAGTTTCCTTGGAATCACTATCAAGATAAAAGTTTAGAGTGTTTTGTATTTTTCTGGGTTTTTTTAAACAGCCTATAAAAGGCTAGGTAAGAAATTTGATTTATAAGAATTTTTGTTCATTTCTAGAACACCTGAGGGTTTTTGTGTTTTTTGGTTTTTTTTAAATGGAGAATAGGAGCCAACAAGAGTCCATAAATCAAACCACATACACAACATGTTGCAAAGGGTTTAGCTGATGACCTCCTGTTACCACTAACAAGGGGAACCTATTGAGCCCAAGGATAAAACAGTGTGAATACTTAGATAAGCATAACTTGATAGGGTCAAACCAGAATGGCATTTACAAGGGCAAATCATGTCATTCTAGCCTGTTAGACAACTCGTTAGAAGAAAAAGAGAAATAAATTATGATTTTGGAATGAAAGTAGACCCAAAGATCATAACTGATATGAATTTTCAGGAGGCTTTTATGATTCGTGTAAAATATTGTTGAAGAAATAAGAGAGGGTAGAGCAATAAATTAAAACTTAATAAGCCAAAACAATTCACAGTAGATTAATGTCTAATACTATGAGGAGAGCTTTGGAGTTCAGGACACTTTATGAGGCAGTGTAATTGGAAAGATTTATGATAAATGTGTTAGATTTTTTATTTATTTACAAAGAGAAGAATGGGTTGGAGAAATCTTATGGCTAAATGAGTTACTAGTAAAAATGATGGATGGGCGTGTGGAGTTGTCCCAGTGTATTCAAAAACACTGATGGATCGGGCAGTGTGAGTCCAGATAAGGTTTAACTGTGGTATGTGTTACCGGTGGTGCCCCAGTCTCATGTACTCTGTGGGGAGGACAGCCTCAGCTTCTCCAAGGTTTATCCTTCCAGTCAAAATGGATCTGATTAAATCTCATCGTTTGATGTCTTTTCAGTAATCCAAATTCACACCACGAATTAGAGTGGACCTATGTGACAGGCAAGGGGGAGCTTAGCAATAGCCTTTGAAGAAAATGGAGGTTAAATGTCCTTTGCAGCAGCTCGGGTGTATGACCGTTCTGGTTACTGGGCTCCTCTTTGTTCCTCCATTAGCCCCAACACCATCACCAGGCGGTTAGAGCTCTCAGGGAGGACAGAGGAAAAAGCAGCAGTCAGTTGCAAGTTGCCTCACCCCCTTTCATGCTTATGCTAAGTCCTGATGATGAATTGTGGACTGAAAATGAATACTGCAGCGCTCTCCCGGCTTTTCTGCACAAGCAATGTTAAGCTGGATAATGGCTGTCGCTTTCTCAGTCCTATAGTCAGTCTAAAGCTCTTATTCTTTCTTCAAAGCAGAGAGATGTACAAAAGCACGGGAGAGACCGTTTTGGTTATCACGGCAAACCCTGCTAAAGCTGGATGGAGAACAGTTTTCCATTCTGTGAAACCTTTCTAAGGATTTCTGAGTTGGTTCCTTTTCTTTATCATGATGAGACCAAAATCTTTACGACGAGGGAGGAGAAGGTACAGGGTCCTTCCATATGCCATCTCCCAAAAAACAAGCAAGTGATCCGCAACAATAAAATCAGTAATTCCATCAACAATTGAGAAGCAATATGCAGGGGGGGAGCTGGGGAATCCAGGTTCAAAACTTGTATTCTGTCTAGGTCCCTTATTCTAGATCAGTCTGTTAAACATTGCTTGTTTTGGAAACAGCATTTTTCTATTTGTTTTCTAAGTAATATTCCACTGTGGGTCTGTGTTGCATAACCAGAAAACCCCACACCTTTAAAAACATTCTTCTTCAGCTTTACCAATCAGAAAAGTCACAAATGCTTGAGCAAGGCTGAAGTGATGTGTAATACTGTGCGTAACATTCTGTCAGTTGCATATATAAAAAGTTATTTTTATGTAGAAGTTAGCGCATGGCTTGATTTCACTAGCATGTTCTGCAGAGTTGTGACTTGACATTTACATTTCCTGATAGTAATACAGCTCTGATTACAATTTTGCAATCTGTACTGACAAGAGCAAGTCCTGTTCAGCAACATCACTGCTGATTGTAGGTATAATGGCAGCTATTACCACTGTTGTTCATGCCTTTGCTTCTTTCCACAATCCGTACAAAAAAACATTGGAAAACTAGCCTTCAGAATATATAATTTAAGAAGAACCCTTCCCCATTCCTCCTCACTTCTTTTGTTTTCTTTTTCCCTGTTTTCAGTGATGCCTTTACTTTCCTTTCCACACTCCTTTCATCCAGCTTTTCCTATTCACATCTCTTTGCCATGGGTAACTCTTCTTCATTTCATGAGGGTAAGGCTTTTTTTTTTCCATTTCTTTTCTGTCCTGTCTTTGCTTTAGCTGACAATGAATAATAAACAAATACAAAAAGAAGTATTTTGTGGAACACCTAATGTGTATATGGCTTTTACAGATTTGTTTTTAAATTAAAAGTTGAAATTGAGTGTACAGTGTCAGAAAATCTTGCACCATAGCATTGAAACGAGAAATCGTTACAGTTTAGTTTATTGTACCGTAAGAAATTTTAGGGACCTAAGTGACATGTACAGTTTGCATGTGCTGTTTGTCAATGCCTGTTCTTACAGACAGATGGTGTCATCGCGAAGTTTAATGCATACATTTCATTGTGATGTCCTTACATGTTACAAAACAAAAATATTTAGCAACATGCTAGGATGGTTCTCTAGTTTGAAAGAGGAAAAAAAAAAACCACAACAAAACAAAACGTAGGAGTCTGAAGAGCGCTCATGGGCTCTCAGTAGAACGTGCACAGTCACGTCACCCAAAACTTTGTCTCCAATATTGCTGTGGTTAAATCACAGTAGTTACGTCTGTTGTAGTGTCTCATGTACAACAACTGTCCTGGATTGACAGTGGCTTTTTTGAGCTTAGTTTAAAATGCTTCCAAAGCAACATAAGCTACACTGAAAGTAAGACCTGTTCTACCAACAGAAGAGTAGTCCTTATGTAGAATTACATTGATTTCAACAGCTTAAATTCATGCCTTATTGCATAACTTGATTTTTTATTTTAGGTTACATGTTTCTTTTTAATTTCACAAAGGATTGTTATATCTGAGGGCCAGTGCAATGATAGAAACATCTAGCACGTATAATAGCTTACTGGATCAAAAACTAATGCTTCCAGAAAATTACTGAATTATTCCAATTAGTTAATGGTATTGAGTTATTTCTGCAAGTCCGGATTAATCCTAAATCTTTCAACTATACATATATATACACACTTTGGAATCCTGCAATCCTGAAACAAGACTTGTGTATCCAAAACAGGCTTGCTTTGAAATCATCTGACACTTAAAATCACATGGATTTAAGCTAAGTGATTTAAAGAATAAGCCACAAAGAAATAAAAATAGTACATCTACTGTGGAAACGCTCAGTTAATCCACACAAGAAGCAGTTTCCGTGTTTTGCAAAAAGACTGAGCTGCACAGGCTCTTCCCACACAGAGCCAAGTGGACACAGCTTTCCAATATTTTTCCTGTCTCTTTTCACATTTTGCATAGTATTTATGAAAGCAGTTAATAATCTTCATCAGTGCTAACGCAAGG